GGATCTACCTTGTCTTGCATCAGAATATGGCGATATAGACATGTAATATCTTGTAATAATGTATGGTGTAATTTCTAAGGCTTACTTTGATTCATGTAATGTTCTTATTCGTCCTCTTCCATGAGCACTGGACATCGGGAGTAGTTTCTATGGTTCTGTTCTGGATCACTAATAACGGCTCTATAATATGAATAAAAACACTTTCATGGTGAGTTTATTGTAAAAGCCCCAATAAAATGTTATCATAAATTCATAGCCAACGTCAAAGAGGGATATTAAACATGATACATGTGTATCTTACCGGGATAACTGGTCAACCATGACAGTTTCAACAAGTTGATGCTTTCTCTTTTCGGCAGCAAGCTCTTCCTGATTATTGAAAACATATAATGGTGAACATGGACCATGACTTATCTAGTATCTTGGAGATACCCTAAAAGTTTTGAAAATGTTTTCATTCCAGGAAACTCAGTTTTTTTTTCACACCAACAAATTTTTTAAAATTATATTCCGTCATTTATTCATTTTCAAGAATAATAAGAACCAACCAAAATCATACTAATTTATTGTGATATTCTAGAAGGGAAATTTTTACTGAGTTCAATTCAAGGATTTGATGTTTTTAAATCCATTGGTTTTAATTTATTATTGGTTTATACACCTATACACCATTAAACTGAGAAAATTGGGAGCAGATGAACTGTAATTGATTACAGTAAATTAAATTCATATGTATGCACTACTGATACAGTATTCTTTAAATTCATTTTCAAGAATAATAAGAACCAACCAAAATCATACTAATTTATTGTGATATTCTAGAAGGGAAATTTTTACTGAGTTCAATTCAAGGATTTGATGTTTTTAAATCCATTGGTTTTAATTTATTATTGGTTTATACACCTATACACCATTAAACTGGGAAAATTGGGAGCAGATGAACTGTAATTGATTACAGTAAATTAAATTCATTACATCAAAATATTATCAGCAAAAATAATTCCAAGATAAAGTCAATTTTTTATACAGTAGATTCTAAAAAAAACAACATAATTTGTATTGCATGAAAGACACCAAAATATTGTGAGTGCAAACAATTCAAAACTAAACTAAGGTATCCTACAGAGAATCTCAGAAAAACAAAATAATTTTCTTACAGCATCCTTCTTTAGTGGATTAGCAAACTGTGGCTGAGAAGGCCTCCAGCTGTAATTATATGCATTGTCTTCTGGAACCTCTGGATCACTGAAAATAAACACATTTATAATACATCTGTTAGTGTATCTTTATAAGTTACAAAGTAATGTATTTGTGTGTTTGTTTATCCTACCAGACACCACGTCTTACAGTTACCATTGGTCACAGAAGGAATACCTAAGAAAACTCAGCCGAAAAACTGTTTTGCTGCGATGCACACTTGGTGTGGGGAAAACAGAGAGTAAACATAAGGCAAGACTGCACTGACCTCTTGACCTTGTGCATATGACGTGAAAGAAAATCTACGAGGTCATGGGGCTTCCCCTGACCTAGATTTCTCTCTCCGTCACCGGCTGAATCACAGAATAATGCCTACAGTTCAAAATAGTCATTTTGACTGACCAGAGTCTATGGTGGATAATTGAACAAAGTGAATTGTATTTGTGTGATAATGATGACGATATCTGTATTCAGAAGATGTAAATTCTGATGTACATGTAACGAATAAGGTCTGGAACAATGTAAACTATTTTATTTTCATGACAGGCAAATTGTTTGTAAGAGAAAGCCACAAAATTTAAGTTTTTTACAGTGTTTCCAAGATAGGGGCATGATGCTGCTTTTGGCACTGTGATAGTGTTTCTTTCTCCATTATCGTACACACTGTTACCTAGATCAGGGAAACAGTGGCTGTGATAACGGGAAATAATGAAACACTATTTGAGTCCCAAAAACAAGTCTTGTGGTTCTCTCTCACCCTCAAGAAAAGTGCCACCTTGTCCAGTCTTTGGGCTTCAATACACCATCAGTTAGATGGGGGAATAGCTTTTAATAATATGAAGACACCTAAATTTAAGTTGTATGTGTATTTTCTGTTTTATTTGACGACGCCTTTGAATCGCAGAATTGAGTTATGAATCAAATTCAGTAGTTCTGGTGTTATGTTGTAGACCGGAATTTGATTTTGCAAATCTGTGACTATTAAAGTTCTTTGTTTTTCTGGACAACCTAAAATCCTGTTCAGTCATTGCTGTTTGGAATTCTACTCTGAGTACGCACTAACCACAATTACCGTAAACTGAGAAGTCCTGAACACGCAATCAGAATAATAATTCATGCAGAAATATTAACAAACCTTTCAGTATTTCCTGGCTGTTGATAATGCTGTTGTGTACCTCGTGGATGATCATTATTTGGCTGTGCTCCAGGCCGGTGTCCATCCCCCTGTCCTTGAACAAACTGCCTGTAGCTTTGTTTCATGTCTTCTTGGTAATCTTGGTATTGTTGTTTATACCTCTGCGAGGGCGGAGGAAGGTTTTCTGGCACAGCAGGTTCATACCATTCCTTAGGCTGCAAACAAAATTACCGAAATGCAATATTATCATTAACGTATAAATTAAAATTGCATTTCACACCAAAATGCTAGTATTCTGTAAGGTTCAACATTACTTTTAAAATGACCTGAAAAAACATACCGTAATGGTAATATTGCTTAAATATAAATCCTCCACAGCCAAGGACTGTTTATTCAATTATCGCCTCACAAATATAAACCTAGTTTGTATTAAGTGCGCCCTCTGTGGCAATTCAACATGCTTCTATTTTGTTTTATGTGAATAATGTCCATTGCCAAATGCTTTCTCAACGCTTATTGGGCATCAATTCACACACAGCTTCTTGGGGATGTATGTTTACATCAAGTTCCCAAAATCAGAGATTTGAAATAATAGAAATCTATGCTCCCAAAATACATTGCACAAAGAAGAGAATTATTGTAAACCTACCTTATTCCAAACTGTTATGCTCCCAAAATACATTGCACAAACAAGAGAATCACTGTAAACCTAACTTATTCCAGACTGTTAAGCTCCCAAAATGCATTGTGCCAACAAGAGAAGCACTGTAAGGTTCTACCTTATTCCAGACTGTCATGCTCCCAAAATGCATTGTACCAACAAGAGAAGCACTGTAAGGTTCTACTATATTCCTGACTGTTATGCTCCCAATATGCATTATATATAAAAAGACCTACCTTTTTTTCTTGCTGCTGTCGTTGAGATGGAAGTGGACTGGGCGTGTAATGCAAAGCAAATGGAGAATTCATCGCAGTACGTCTTCTGAAAATATACAAAAAAAAAACATATTTTAAATTATAAAATACTACCGGTAGTAGAGAAAATTGAATTTGGCGAGAATGTCTTGGAGGAAACAAAATTGTGAAACATGAGGTGATGCCCATTTGCAAGATTCACATGTCCTGCCTTGATTTCAAAGTGTTAAAATCACATTCAGGTTTATAACATATTGACTCCATTTAATGTTTTATACTTTAATATACTGTATTTGCACTATTAGTAGTGCATGTGTTTAAGTATATGATAGGAGTACCACCTTTGACATTCCTTTTTTGGCATATACACGATAATGATTTGTTTGGAAAACAGCCTAAATTTCAGCAGAAAATGTCAAAGAAATAGATGGTGAAAAAATAATATAGTTTGGTACATGAAGGACATTTTCTTTCGTTGGTTTCAGTTTTTAGTCTAGTGTGTCGCCAGTTTCAGTATGTAATTCATGGCAGCTACATGTACATCTAAATTTGCTTAATGTTCTTACTGCTTATCTGTCATTCAACTGTTTTTGGTAGGTTTCTTGATAAATGGTGTGTTTGTCTAATTTAATCATTTTTTATTCATCTCGTTGCATGTCACTGTGTCATACATTTTGGTGGTTTTTTTTGGTAGCCTCTTGGAAGTGTGTTTTTTGTAACATTAAAGTCTATTTTGTAGACGCTGTTGAGTTTTGTAAGAGAGTAGTCAACAAGTTTGTTATTTCCCATTTATTTCAAAGCATTGTATGCAATGTTATTTTGTTCATCTGATATTGAGTGTCTATAATAGTTTTATATGACATAGTAGTGGAAGCCATCCAGTGTCCATTCATATGCCAATGTTACTGGCAGTATTACTTGCATTACTTACAAGTACAATGTATCTACAGAAACATAGGTCTAATTTTTTAGTATCTTATTTGAACATGCATCCCATAACCCTCCTGTGTATGTAAAGATTGGTAACTGCGTTGATTGAAAGATGTAAGATTGTGCTCTTTCTGCTTTTCCTGGCTAAGTGCGTCATAGTTAGATCAATTTTTTTGTTACTATTGTAACTCCAAGGTAACTTGTCATTTTTTCTATGTAATTTTATTGAAATGGTCTTTATAAGACAGGTGGGTGGTCTTTATATGAAAGGTGTGATCATTTTTGTATAGATTACCAACTCATATATTTGAAAATAATGACATGATACAACAAAAACACATTAATTAGAGTTGATCAAAAACAAATAAGCTTGACTTAAGGAAATTAAAAATTGAGGTTTACCCCTGATTGTCATCTTTGACTCTGCCTTGCTGGTTATACATATCACCTCGACTTGTGCCCCAGCTGAAAGAAAAAATATGATGCTTAATAAAATCATGGGTATCCATCACGCTGAATTCTGATTCACATGGCGTCCCTGTATAGTACAAAAGAATACGAAATGTGCTAAGTAGCCTTTGGCATGCTCACTGAGTTTAAGATTCATACATATTTATGGCTTCAAAAAGCCAATTTGTGACTTTGTGATATCAAATTTATTAAACGCAGGTAATAATTATTCTTAGGGGTGGACATCTTGCAATTTTCACTGCCTGGCAACCATCACAGTGAAAACAAAGGCCGTAAACTCCCAGAAAACTGAACTTTGGGATAGCTGCTGAGACTCCCCCGAACAGAGTAACAAGATTACCCCTGCATGTACAACATATATAAATTTGGTTGCTCAGGATTATTTAAAAGTTGAGTTTGTGCTGTTTCCTTGGCTTTAGCTGTCTTCACCGACTCTTCGGCCAGTGTTCCAAGACAGCTTGTGCAAAGCCCATAGAAATACATGGTACAACAATGCTCGTCATATCAACGTAGAACGTTCTGTGACATATCTCCGCCCCCCAAAAATATGAAAAATGAAAATTTTTACACTTTCTACACAATAAATCTGATATCAAAATTAAGGATCCTCTATTCATGTCATACTTTAAATTTCCTTTATAATTTCAATGTATGCATGTGGTACAAGACAATTTCAGGTACCGGTAGTTTAGGCTTGAAATTGGCTGCCCTGTTATGCAATAGTCATGTTGTTGGTGAATTAGTGAACAATTTTGCTAACTTGTTGCTTCAAACTTCTGAAATTTACTGATACTCTTAAAACATGACAAGTCATGACCATAAAATGGCTCACATGTTTTCACAGAATAAGACTTCTTGAAGTAAACATAAGATATTAAATACTAACCTTACAGTACTGGCAGTATTGGGCGTATCAAGTTTACCTTCAGAGTAAGGTAAAGGATTGGTTAGCAAATTATCTGGATGAACTAATTTACCAAGATTCAAAGCTGGTACACTGGAAAAATAATAAAAAAAGAAACACCATTTACACATCTGCCACTGTAAAAACAAATTGGTTAAAAACATATACTGTAGAATACTTTATTTTCGCTTGGAATTTATTTTCGCTATTTTCGCTGAAGGGATGTTTCCGTGAAAATAAAATCCAGTGAATATACTTTTTTCCTATATTTCACATTAAACTCATCAAAAATCAGTGAAAATAAATTCCACACAAAACGCCTAAAAAGCCTTTTCAGCGAAAATAGTATTCCACAGTAGTTTAAATAGTCATACTATAAACTAACAAATGTAATTATTGTATACAGAATCATTAAAATATTATTATTAATTTCGAGACCCACCTCTGTAATTTCTGATCTGTGCTACTAATATAGAGCAAATACGGTTTGTTTTTGTTCTTAATCTGTTGTACTTGCATTTCTTTCATTTTTAAACATATTTATATCTCCAATTATTCCCAATCTGGGTTAAAAAGTGTGAAAAAATGAAATTTTTCCTTAATATTGTGCTCTATGGATTTGTTCTAAAAATATATTTACATTACAAAGAATAATTACATGTAGAGAGGAAATTTTGCAAACAATTAACACCTCCAGGCCTTGATTTTCGGAAATAAGACAATCTAAAAATGAACACAACCATTTACTGGACATAGTATGGCAAATGATTAGGAAACTATGATATTAAAATCTCCTCAAAAAAGCCTTAATTGCGAGGATGATGATAGACAAGTTTAGGGACGACGTCAAAAGATCGATGTCGGATAAAAAACTTAATTCCTTTAGTTTTTTTCCAAACCCCCCCTACCCCCACTGAAACTTAATTGATAAATATTGGTCATGGCGTCAGATTACAATATTTGACTAACTATTATGCAAATTAAATTAATTAATATGCACATATTTTTACTTAAAATGAACTCTGACCAGCAGACATACACACATGTACACACAGACAGACAGGGTAAACTGCAAAAACTCCCATTGTGTGCTTCATATACAGGAGTAAAAAAATACTTGAATTGCACTTACCAGTCTGGTCTATCGTGAGTTTCTCTGGAAGCTAACCGTGGATCATGGGTTTGATCACCGCTACCTTCATAGTATCTACGGTATGCTTCTAGCTCAGCCTGTGTAACAACAGCCCCCTACATCCAGAGAAGAACAATAGATCTAGCTTAGATACTAGATTTGTTTTGGATCCAAAAATTAATGTAGTGATGTGCATTTTGATACGAATCAAAATTTCTCAATTAATACTACATATACTTTACTAATCTCAAGCTCCTTATAGAATAATATAACATGAATTGTAAAACACGTCCCCAATATGCAGTATATATATATAAACATATTAGCCATTGTATGTGTTTTATTACACTAGATGAAAACACATTTATCTA